CCCCCACCGCCAATCCCCCCCCCCCCCCCCGGCCCAGGGACGACAAGGTGGCTGGTCCCGCTCAGGCGGAGAGGTGTTTACTGCGGACGCTTCAGAGGCCGTTACATTGGACACAGACACCCGGACGGACCACAGCCGTCGTCACCGAGCACGGCCGGGACAGCCACGGGCGGGGGGGGGGGGGGGGGTGTGACAGTTCACAGGGGAGCACGGGAGCGGAGGCCGGAGGAGCCGGCCCAGGCCCATCCCCACGCTGCCGATCGGAGGGGGGGACGGTGACAGTTCACAGGGGAGCACGGGAGCGGAGGCCGGAGGAGCCGGCCCAGGCCCATCCCCACGCTGCCCATCGGAGGGGGGGTACGGTGACAGTTCACAGGGGAGCACGGGAGCGGAGGCCGGAGGAGCCGGCCGGCCCAGGCCCATCCCCACGCCGCCGATGGGGGGGGGGGGTGACAGTTCACAGGGGAGCACGGGAGCGGAGGCCGGAGGAGGAGCCGGTCCAGGCCTGTCCCCATGCTGCCGATGGGGGGGGGGGAGGGGTGACAGTTCACAGGGGAGCACGGGAGCGGAGACCGGGGGAGAGCCGGCCGGCCCAGGCCCGTCCCCACGCCGCCGATCGGAGGGAGTGGGGGGGGGGGTGACACGGAGCAGCCGTCCCGGGGCGGCCTCGGCCCCGCAGCCACTGGCTCTGCCACGGGCCCGGCACGGGGGGGGGGGAACAGGGTGGGGGGATGGGAGGGGGACAGGGTATCAGGCTCTGGGGTCGGGGGACACAGCAGGGTCGGGGGACACACAGCGGGGTCAGGGTGGGGGGACACAGCAGGGTCGGGGACACACAGCGGGGTCAGGGACACACAGCGGGGTCGGGGGACACACAGCGGGGTCGGGGACACACAGCGGGGTCGGGGACACACAGCGGGGTCGGGGTCGGGGGACACAGCGGGGTCGGGGGGACACACAGCGGGGTCGGGGACACACAGCGGGGTCGGGGACACAGCGGGGTCGGGGACACAGCGGGGTCGGGGACACACAGCGGGGTCGGGGGACACACAGCGGGGTCGGGGGACACACAGCGGGGTCGGGGGGACACAGCGGGGTCGGGGTCGGGGACACACAGCGGGGTCGGGGGGGGACACAGCGGGGTCGGGGGGGGACACAGCGGGGTCGGGGGGGACACAGCGGGGTCGGGGGGACACAGCGGGGTCGGGGGGGACACAGCGGGGTCGGGGGGGACACAGCGGGGTCGGGGGGGGACACAGCGGGGTCGGGGGGGACACACAGCGGGGTCAGGGGACACACAGCGGGGTCGGGGGACACACAGCGGGGTCGGGGGGACACAGCGGGGTCGGGGGGGGACACAGCGGGGTCGGGGGGGACACACAGCGGGGTCAGGGGACACACAGCGGGGTCGGGGACACACAGCGGGGTCAGGGACACACAGCGGGGTCGGGGGGACACACAGCGGGGTCGGGGACACACAGCGGGGTCGGGGACACAGCGGGGTCGGGGACACAGCGGGGTCGGGGACACAGCGGGGTCGGGGACACACAGCGGGGTCGGGGGGACACAGCGGGGTCGGGGACACACAGCGGGGTCGGGGACACACAGCGGGGTCGGGGGGACACAGCGGGGTCGGGGGACACACAGCGGGGTCGGGGGACACAGCGGGGTCGGGGGGGGACACAGCGGGGTCGGGGGGGGACACAGCGGGGTCGGGGGGGGACACAGCGGGGTCGGGGACACACAGCGGGGTCGGGGACACACAGCGGGGTCGGGGACACACAGCGGGGTCGGGGGGACACAGCGGGGTCGGGGGGGACACACAGCGGGGTCGGGGACACACAGCGGGGTCGGGGACACACAGCGGGGTCGGGGACACACAGCGGGGTCGGGGGGACACAGCGGGGTCGGGGGGACACAGTGGGGTCGGGGGACACAGCGGGGTCGGGGGGACACACAGCGGGGTCGGGGGGGGGACACAGCGGGGTCGGGGGGGGACACACAGCGGGGTCAGGGTCGGGGGACACAGCGGGGTCGGGGACACACAGCGGTGTCAGGGTCGGGGGACACAGCGGGGTCGGGGGACACAGTGGGGTCGGGGGGGACACACAGCGGGGCCAGGGTCGGGGGACACAGCGGGGTCGGGGACACACAGCGGGGTCAGGGTCGGGGGACACAGCGGGGTCGGGGGACACAGTGGGGTCGGGGGGGACACACAGCGGGGCCAGGGTCGGGGACACACAGTGGGGTCGGGGTCGGGGGACACAGTGGGGTCGGGGGACACACAGCGGGGTCGGGGGACACAGCAGGGTCAGGGTCGGGGGGACACAGCGGGGTCGGGGACACAGCGGGGGGGGGGACACACAGCGGGGTCGGGGGACACAGCGGGGTCGGGGTCGGGGACACACAGCGGGGTCGGGGACACACAGCGGGGTCGGGGTCGGGGACACACAGCGGGGTCAGGGTCGGGGGACACAGCGGGGTCGGGGACACACAGCGGGGTCGGGGGACACAGCGGGGTCGGGGACACAGCGGGGGGGGGGACACACAGCGGGGTCGGGGGACACAGCGGGGTCGGGGTCGGGGACACACAGCGGGGTCGGGGACACACAGCGGGGTCGGGGTCGGGGACACACAGCGGGGTCAGGGTCGGGGGACACAGCGGGGTCGGGGACACACAGCGGGGTCGGGGGACACAGCGGGGTCGGGGACACAGCGGGGGGGGGGGGGACAGTGGGGTGGGGGTGGAGGAAGGAGAGAGGGGAAGGCCCTCCTGACCGAGCCCGTGTTCGGGGAAACGAACAGCATCTGCTTCTCCGGGGCCGTGGCGGCCCGGCTGCGGGGACCCACCCGCTCTCCGCGGCGCCCCCCTGCTGGAGGGGGGTGCCGGCGGGGCTCACCCCGAAACTGTCTCCCTGGGAGCGAGCAGGCGGGCGAGAGTCCGGCACGTCCCAGCCCCAGGGGGACACGGACGGGGGTATCCCCATTTCCCGGGGTCCCCCCCCTCTCTCTCTCTGGGGGGGTCAGCCGTGCCAATGGGGAGCACACCGCCCCTTTAAGGGCTCCAAAAGGACACCTGCCTCTGGCCGGTGCGGCTCAGTGGGTAGAGCATCGTCCTGCCGACCAAATGGGTCCCGGGTTCAAGTCCCGGCCAAGGGCCCGGGCCCGGGTTGGGGGCTCGATCCCCAGCGTGGGGGGCGTGCAGGAGGCAGCCGAGCCGTGATGCTCTCTCTCCCTCTCCCTCTCCCTCCCCCTCCACCCCCACCTCCCAGGACCGAGCCCCGAGCTGCCCGCACCCCCACCTCCTCCTCCACCTGCCCCCGCCGCCCTCGGCGCCACTCAGGACACCCCCAACCCCCCCCCAAAAAAACGGAGGAAAAACAAGCCCAGGACCCCAAACCTCCCGGCTTCCTGGCTCCCGGGCTCCCGGCCGCCCTGTGTGTGTTTGGATTTTTTTTTTTAATATTTTTTACTGATTTTCCACAGAGTGGAAGGGAGAGGGATGGAGAGCTAGAAACATCGGTGAGAGAGAATCACCGACCAGCTGCCTCCTGCACGCCCCCCACTGGGGATGTGCCCGCAGCCAAGGCCCATGCCCCTGACCGGGAATCGAACCCGGGACCCTTCCGTCCGCGGGCCGACGCTCTACCCACTGAGCCACCCCGGCTTCTGCCGTGTTTGGGTTTTATGGAGACACCCCTTCTCTGAGTCGCACGCTGGTGCCGTGGTGCCCGGCGGGGGGGTGGGGGCACGGGAAGATGCCCAGGGCCTGGGCGGTCCAGGTGGGGGCGCCGTGTCGGCCTCCTGCTGCTCTGCCCCCACCCCTTCCCTACAAAAGCCAAAGGCTCCTCCACGCCCCCTGCCCCGAACCCGGGACCACTCGGCCCCGAGACGCGCACAGGGCTCTGGCCCCGGCCGGTGTGGCTCAGTGGGTAGGGCGCCGGCCTGCGGGCCGAATGGGTCCCGGGTTCCGATTCCGGTCAAGGCTGCAGGCCCCTCCCCGATCTGGGCCCTGGTCGGGCGCGCGTGCAGGAGGCAGCCCGTCGCTGTGTCCCTCTCCCACCGACGTTTCTCCCCATCTCCCCCTGCCTCGAACCCGGGACCGCTCAGCCAGATAGGTGCACGCAGGACCCTGTCCCCAGCCGGTGTGGCTCAGGGGGTAGAGCGCCGGACCCTGGAGGACAGCTCCCCACGCCTGCTGGGCCCCCGGGGGGGAAGGGGGGGCTGCGGACAGGCCTCACCCCGAAAACACCTCCAGAGCCACCGAGCAGACGCACCCCGCCTCGCCCCACCCCCAGGGCCGCCTGGCCCCCCAAGTCCCGTCCACACACACACACACACACACACACCCTGACTCCAGCCGCCTCCTGCAGGCTCCGGCGGGGATGGGGTGAGCTCGGAGAAGACGCCCCAGCCATCCCTCCCCAAGCCCAGTCCCCCGGTCCCCCCTCCTGCAGCCAGGGTGGCGCAGTGGGTAGAGCCCACCTTGGGGCTCATCCACGCACACCCTGGACTCGGACCCTCGCTCAGCCCACACACAGCCGACGCCCCGCACGGCACACACACAGCCCAGGACCGGGGCACGGGGCTGGGGAGCGGGGTGTGGGCTGTACCCCCTTTTCTGCCCCCCCCACATCCCCCCCCCCGGCCTGGGCCCTCCGCTCAGCTCACCGAGCACAGGCTGGGCCTCCCTTCACCCCCCGATCGGCGCCCCTGGTCCCCAGGCGCCCACAGCAGACACAGGCCGGGGGGAGCTGGCCCCGGCCCCCGGGCCGGTCTGGGTGGGGGTCCGGGGTCCGGGGCGGGGGGCACAGGGGAGTCCGGGACGGGGGTAAGCGGACATGGATCATGAAAACCGTCGGGGGGAGGAGATCAGACAGAGCCGGGCCCTCAGGATCCACAGAGGCAGACAATAAATACTCGGACCCGGACGTGTCCCGGGCGAGGGCGAGGGCGGGGGGCGAGGTGCCCTCTGCGGGGGGGGCTCCTGCTGGCCCCCGCTACTCGGAAAACGGCGGGAACATGCCCAGGTCCGCGAAGTCCTCAATGTTGTAGCTGCCGGTGCCCTGGGCGGGGTCCCCCGGCATGGGCAGCATGTCCTGGGGGGAGAGAAGGGGTGCGGGGGCAGGGGTGACCCCACGGCCCACGCTGGCGGGCGGGGAGGGGCGGGGGGCAGCCCGGCGACACCCCAATGTCTGAACCCGGGGGCTGAGACTCGGGGACCCCTGGTTCCCACAGTGAATAGCCGGGTGCAGGGGGGGAGGGGCCCGGCCCTCATGGCTCAGTGGTGAGCGTCGGCCTAGGAACCAGGAGGTCAGGGTTCCATTCCCGGTCAGGGCACAGGCCTGGGTTGCAGGCTCCATCCCCAGTGGGGGGCGTGCAGGAGGCAGCCGGTCCAGGATTCTCTGTCCTCATGGATGTTTCTCTCTCTCCCCCTCTCCCTTCCTCTCTAAGATCAATAAAAAATATTTTTTTAAAAAAAAAATAGCCCTAACCGGTGTGGCTCAGTGGACAGAGCGTCGACCTGTGGACGGAAAGGTCCCGGGTTCGATTCCCGGTCAAGGGCATGGACCTTGGTTGCGGGCACATCCCCAGTGGGGGGCGTGCAAGAGACAGCTGATGGATGTTTCTCTCTCATCGATGTTTCTAACTCGCTATCCCTCTCCCTTCCTCTCTGTACAAAATCAATCAATTATATATATATTTTTTAAAAAAAGATATATATTTTTTAAAATTAAAAAAAAAAAAATCACACGTGGCCCTGGCCAGTGTGGCTCAGCAGATAGATCGTCAGCCTGTGGACCGAAGGGTCCGGGTTCGATTCCCAGTCAGGGCCCACGTCCGGGTGGCGGCCTCCATCCAGGAGGGGGCGTGCGTGCAGGAGGCAGCCGATCCATGATTCTCTCTCCTCATGGATGTTTCTCTCTCTCTCCCTCCCTCCCTGTAAAGAAGGAAAAAAAAAAAATCAATAAATATATACTGAGCCGAAACCAGTGTGGCTCAGTGGATAGAGCGTCGGCTTGGGGACTGAAGGGTCCCGGGTTCGATTCCGGCCAAGGGCATGGACCTTGGTTGCGGGCACATCTCCAGTGGGGGGCTGTGCAGGAGGCAGCTGATCGATGTTTCTCTCTCATCGATGTTTCTAACTCTCTCTCCCTCTCCCTTCCTCTCTGTACAAAATCAATAAAATATATTTAAATATGTGTGTATATATATTGGAAAAAATAGAAAAGAAAAACCGACAGAGACTGCCAGGCGCCCAGGCCCTCTCCCCCGGGCCCTCCAGCCGGGGGCACCCTCACCGGGGACAGGGCACCCCCTTTGGGGGGACGCGGGGGCGGGGACCGAGCGGGGGCGGGCGTACCTGGAACACTTCGGTCTGGCCGGGCTGCGGGTGGGCGTGCTGCTCGCCGCTCGGCTGCCCGTGGTGCTGCTGGCTCTGCCACTGCGACCAGACCTCGGAGGGCCGGCCCTGGAACTGGCCGCCGGCCTGGCCGCCTTCCGCTGGGGACCGGCCGGGCGGGAGGGGTCAGGGGGACACACATCACCAGGAGCCCCCCCCCCAGCCCCTCCCTCCCGCGGGGCCTGGATTCCCCCCCCTCCCCCTATGCACACAGCCCAGCTTCTCCGAACGGAACTGCCTTCAGAGGAGTGAGGGCTTCTCGCGTATTATTTGTGTTCATTGGCGGGGGGAGAGGCAGAGAGAGAGAGAGAGAGAGAGAAACATCGATGTGAGCCCCGCTGGTGTGGCTCAGTGGGTAGAGCGCCGGCCTGCGGTCAGAAGGGTCCCCGGCTTCGGTTCCCGGTCAAGGGCACACGCCTGGGTGGCGGGCTCGGTCCCCAGGAGGGGGCGTGCAGGAGGCAGCCTGTCCGTGTTCCTCTCTCATCGGGGATGTTTCTCTCTCTCTCTCCCTCTCCCTTCCCTTCCCCTCTAACGTCAGTAAATTCTATTTTTAAAAGGAGAGGGAGGGCCCCAGCCGGTGTGGCTCAGTGGACAGAGCGTCGGCCTGCGGACGGAAGGGTCCCGGGTTGGATTCCCGGTCAAGGGCATGGACCCTGGTGGCGGGCACATCCCCAGTGGGGGGCGTGCAGGAGGCAGCTGGTCGATGTTTCTCTCTCATCGATGATTCTGACTCTCTCCTTTTCCCTTCCTCACTCTAAAAAAATTAATAGGCCCAAACCGGTGTGGCTCAGTGGATAGAGCGTCGACCTGTGGACTGAAAGGTCCCGGGTTCGATTCCCGCCAAGGGCATGGACCTTGGTGGCGGGCACATCCCCAGTGGGGGGCATGCAGGAGGCAGCTGATCGATGATTCTCTCTCATCGATGTTTCTGACTCTCTATCCCTCTCTCTTCCTCTCTGTGAAAAATCAATAAAATATATTAAAAATAAAATAAAATAAAAATTAAAAATTAACAGGATATTATTTTTTCCCTGGGGGCTCGGGGCTTAGCCCCCGAACTCGGGGTGCTCCGGAGGTGTGGCCCCGTGCCCTCCCCGCCCCCGCCCCGTCCCGCCTACCGAAGCCGGGCGTCCTGCTGGCCAGGCCGGAGTAGGCGCTGCCGCCGGGCGAGGAGGTGGCGGGGCTGGCGAGCGGGCTGTAGGAGGCGGGGTCGGCCGGGTAGCTGTGGCCGGTCCCGATGCCGAACGGGGACGACTGGGCCTTGCCGGCCTGGGGGGTTCAGGGGGGGGGGCGCCGTCAGGGCCACGCGGGGGGAGGGACGGTCCCCCCGGGACCCGCCCGGGCTGGTGCCCGCCGCCCGCAGGGGTGGGCACCCGATGGGGCCTGATCCGGGGGACGGGACCCCGAGCCCCCCCCCCCACCCCATCCGCGGGCCTGCTGGCCGCCTGGCACAGGCGGGGTCAGGCCCACAGGACGGACGGGCCGCAGAGCAGCAGGATGTGGGGGGAGGTCAAGGTAACCCAAGGCAGATCAAGGTCAAGGTCACTCAGGCAGGTCAAGGTCACCCGGGCAGGTCAAGGTCACTCAGGACAGGTCGAGGTCACATAGGACAGGTCAAGGTCACACAGGGCAGGTCAAAAGTCACACGGGACAGTTCAAAGTCACTCGGGACATACCAAGGTCACTTAGTACGGGTCAAGGTCACTCAGAACAGGTCAAGATCACCCAGGGCAGGTCAAGGTCACCCGGGCAGCTCAAAAGTCGTACGGGACAGAGTCAAGGTCACACATGACAGGTCAAGGTCACATGTGGCAGGTCAAACAGGGCAGGTCAAGGTCACTCAGTGCCAGGTCAAGGTTACATTGGAGAGGTCAAGGTCACACAGGGCAGCTCAAGGTCACCCCGAGCTGGCTGTGGCGTGGGCCCTCTGGCCTGGCCCACTCAGACGCTGGCTGCTGTGCCATGGGGTCCGGGTGTCCCTACTGAGTGCAGCTCCGCCCAGGCCTGGATTTGGGGGGCCCCATGGGGTGCCCTGGCGTACCTGTCCGGGGAAGGGGGATGCTCCCTGCCCAGGCCGGGATTTGGGGGGCCCTGTGGGGTGCTCTGGGTCATACCTGTCCGGGGAAGGGGGCAGGCTCCCTGCCCAGGCCGGGATTTGGGGGGCCCCGTGGGGTGCCCCGGCGTACCTGTCCGGGGAAGGGCGGCCAGTCCAGGCCAGGATTTGGGGGGCCCCCTGGGGTGCTCCGGGGCGTACCTGTCCGGGGAAGGGCGGCCGGCCCAGGCCGGGATTTGGGGGCCCGTGGGGAGCTCCGGGGCGTACCTGTCCGGGGAAGGGCGGCCGGCTCCCGGCCCAGGCCACCTGGCCCTGGGTGAGCTGGCGGGAGATCTGGGGCAGGTTCTGGCCGGAGGAGGACGTGGACTGGAGGTCGTTCACGCCGGGCACGTGCACCACGGAGGAGCTGGCGGAGAGCACGGCTGTCCCACTCTGCCCGGCCACCTCACAGGCACAGGGGGGGGGGACAGGCACAGGGGGGCTGTCCCACTGTGCCCGGCCACCTCACAGGCACAGGGGGGGCTTCCCACTGAGCCCAGACACCTCACAGGCACAGGGAGCGGGGACAGGCACACGTGGGGGGGGGGGATAGGCACAGAGGGGGGGGACAGGCACAAAGGGGGGGACAGGCACAGAGGGGGGGATAGGCACAGAGGGGGCTGTCCCACTCTGCCCGGACCACCTCCCCCGCCCTGCCCGGACCACCTCGCCCCTGCCCGCCGCCCGCACGCACCTGAAGGCCTTGCCCGTGTGTCCGGCCGGGAAGGGGCCGCCCTGGGAGTAGAGGGCCTGGCTGCCCGCTGAGGCCGGGCCCAGCATCTTCTTCTCCGCTGGACAGAGCGGGCACAGGGTCAGGGCCCGCCGGCAGGTCACATGGTCAGGGCCCGCCGGCAGGTCACATGGTCAGGGCCCGCCGGCAGGCCAGGAACCCCCACCTGGGCCAGGACCCTCCCAACCTGGGCCAGGACACACCCCACCTGGGCCAGGACCCCCCCACCTGGGCCAGGAACCCCCACCTGGGCCAGGACCCCCCCACCTGGGCCAGGAACCCCCACCTGGGCCAGGACCCCCCCACCTGGGCCAGGAACCCCCACCTGGGCCAGGAACCCCCACCTGGGCCAGGACCCCCCCCGACCTGGGACAGGACCCCCCCACCTGGGCCAGGACACACACCCCCACCTGGGCCAGGACACACACCCCCACCTGGACCAGGACCCCCCCACCTGGGCCAGGACACCCCCACCTGGGCCAGGAACCCCCACCTGGGCCAGGACCCCCCCCACCTGGGCCAGGACCCCCCCACCTGGGCCAGGAACCCCCACCTGGGCCAGGACCCCCCCACCTGGGCCAGGAACCCCCACCTGGGCCAGGAACCCCCACCTGGGCCAGGACCCCCCCCGACCTGGGACAGGACCCCCCCACCTGGGCCAGGACACACACCCCCACCTGGGCCAGGACACACACCCCCACCTGGGCCAGGACACACACCCCCACCTGGACCAGGACACCCCCACCTGGGCCAGGACACACACCCCCACCTGGGCCAGGACACACACCCCACCTGGACCAGGACCCCCCCACCTGGGCCAGGACACCCCCACCTGGGCCAGGACACCCCCATCTGGGCCAGGACACACCCCCACCTGGGCCAGGACCCCCCCACCTGGGCCAGGACCCTCCCAACCTGGGCCAGGACCCCCCCACCTGGGCCAGGACCCCCCACCTGGGCCAGGGCCCCGGCACTCACAGGCTCCGATGCCCGCGAACATCTCAGCAAAGCGAGGGTCGCGCTCCTGGGAGAAGATGGTGTCGGCCTTCTCCACGCCCTTCCCGGCCTCGTGCACGCCGCCCGGCAGGCTGGGCACCGGCACCTGTGGGCGGGCGGACACGGGTCACCCCGTGGGGGCTCTGACCTCCCGTCCGTCCCTCCATCGCCACCATCCCCGTCTCCCAGGCCGCAGAGAGGACCGCGGGCCCCACGGTGGACGCAGAGGAATAAGCATGACCCACGCATGCCGAGGCCGGTGTGGCTCAGTGGGTAGCGCGTCGGCCTGCAGACTGAAGGGTCCCGGGTTCGGTTCTGGTCAAGGGTATGGGCCTTGGTTGCGGGCACATCCCCAGAGAGGGGTGTGCAGGAGGCACCTGGTGGATGTTTCTCTCTCATCGATGTTTCTAACTCTCTCTCCCTCTCCTTCCTCTTTGTTTAAAAAAAAAAAAAAAATCAATAAAATATATTTAAAAAAAAACAAAACAAAGAATAACCCACGCACTCCACTGGGAAAAGTGCATCTGAAGTTTAGATTTAAAAATATATATATATTTTTAAATTTTATTATTGTTTGTTGAAGTGTTTCCATTGATTTCAGAAAGGAAGGAAAGGGAGAGGGGGAGAGAAACATCCACGATGAGAGAGAATCACAGATCAGCCGCCTCCTGCACGCCCCACACTGGGGATCGAGCCCGCAACCCGGGCCTGTGCCCTTGACCGGAATCGAACCTGCGACCCTTCAGTCTGCAGGCCGACGGTCTACCCACTGAGCCACCCTGGCCAGGGCTAAATATGCTTTTATTGATTTCAAAGAGGAAGGAAGAGGAGAGAGAGAGAGAATCACGGATCAGCTGCCTCCTGCACGCCTCCCACTGGGGATCGAGCCCGCAACCCGGGCCTGTGCCCTGACCGGAATCGAACCCTGACCTCCTGCTTCATAGGTCGATGCTCCACCACTGAGCCACACCAGCTGGGCACAGTTTAAATTTTTTTTTTTAAATGTATTGCTTTTAGAGAGAGAAAGGGGGAGAGAGAGAGAAAGAGAGAGAGAGAGAGAGAGAGAGAGAGAGAGAGAGAGACATCCATTTGCAGCCCTAACCCAACGTGGCTCAGTGGATAGAGTGTTGGCCTGCGGACTGAAGGGTCCCGGGTTCGGTTCCAGGCTCCACCCCGGGCCCTGCTCGGGGCGCGTGCAGGAAGCAACCCTTCGAGGTGTGTCTCTCTCTGTCTCTCCCTTCCGCTCTCTCTAAAAATCAATGGGGAAAAAAATACCCTCGGTGAGGATAAAACAAAATAAAGAGTGGGGAGTTGCTGGTGCCCCGTGGGGGCAGGCGAACCACTCAGCGCCGGCAGGGGGCGCCACAACTCCTGCTGAGTGAGGGGCGGAGCCAAGCTGGGTCCCGCCCTCAGCCCAGGCCCCGGGTTCGAGGCGCCCCCACACTCACCTGGGCCAGGTCGTAGGAGGACAGCCCGTCTCTCTGATGGACCTCCAGCTCGGCCTGCTGTTGCTGGAGCTGCCTGCGGGCAGGAGGGGCGGTCACTGCGGGGCGGCCCCCCAGCACGGGGAGGGGGGAAGGGTGCGGGGAGGGGGGGGGGTCTCCGATGGTCATTCATTTTTTTAAAAATATATTTTATTCATTTTTTTACAGAGAGGAAAGGAGAGGGACAGAGAGCTAGAAACACCGATGAGAGAGAATCATCGACCAGCTGCCTCCTGCACGCCCCCCGACTGGGGATGTGCCCGCAACCAAGGCACATGCCCTTGGCTGGAACCGAACCCGGGACCCTTCCGTCCGCAGGCCGACGCTCTGTCCACTGGGCCACACCGGTTTCGGCTGTTTGTTCATTTTTTAAAATATACCGAGTGGCCAGATGATGACGGCCTCTGAATGCATAATGACCTTGCCACTCAATGTTTGTGTGTGTGTGTGTGTGTGTCTGTGTGTATGTATGTGAGCGTGTGTCTGTGTATGTGTGTGTATGTATGTGAGTCTGTGTGTGTGTGTGTGTGTGTTATATAATATATGTCTATATATATATATGAGGCCCGGTGCATGAATCCGTGCATGGGTGGGGTCCGGCCAGCCTGGCCAGGGGGAGGGGACGTGGGCCGTCGGCCGGCCTGCTTGCTGGTCGGACTCCTGGTCGAGGGCACCATGTGCATATGAGCCTTTTATTCTATAGGACAGACACGGAGTGGCCAGATGATTATGCGTTCAGAGACCATCACCATCTGGCCGCTCCGTGTGTGTGTGTGTGTGTGTGTGTGTGTGTGTGTGTGTGTGTGTGTGGAGGCCCGGTGCATGAATCCGTGCATGGGTGGGCTCCGGCCAGCCTGGCCAGGGGGAGAAGATGTGGGCGGTCGGCCGGCCTGCCTGCCGGACGCACTCCTGGTCGAGGGGACCATGTGCATATGAGCCTTTTATTCTATAGGACAGACACGGAGTGGCCGGATGATTGTGCGTCCAGAGACCATCACCATCTGGCCCCTCAGTGTGTGTGTGTGTGTGTGTGTGTGTGTGTGTGTGTGTGTATTAAAGGCCCGGTGCATGAATCCGTGCATGGGTGGGCTCCGGCCAGCCTGGCCAGGGGGAGAAGATGTGGGCGGTCGGCCGGCCTGCCTGCTGGTTGCACTCCTGGTCGAGGGGACCGTGTGCATATGAGCCTTTTATGATGGGGCAGTGGTTCTCAACCTTCCTAATGCGAGACCCTTTGACACAGCTCCTGGTGCGGTGGTGACCTCCAGGCATAACATTATTTTCGTGGCTCCTTCATCACTGTCATTTTGCTGTGAATGAATCGCAACGTGAATATCTATGCTTTCCGATGGTCTCGGGCGACCTGTGGGTTGCGAACTGCCGCTGTAGAGAAAAATTGCAGTTATAAAGTAGCAACGGCTGGAGGTCACCACCGCACCAGGAGCTGTGTTACAGGGTCGTGGCGTTAGGAAGGTTGAGAACCACTGCCCCATCATAAAAGGCTCATATGCACACGGTCCCCTCGACCGGGAGTGCGACCAGCAGGCAGGCCGGCCGACCGCCCGTGTCCCCGCCCCCTGGCCAGGCTGGCCGGACCCCACCCATGCACGGATGCATGCACCGGGCCTCTGAATACACACACACACACAGTGGCCAGGTTATTATGCGTTCAGAGATCATCATCGTCTGGCCGCTCCGTGTATATTTGTATTTATTTCAGAGAAGAATTGGAGGGAGAGAGGGAAAGAGAAACATCCATGAGGAGAGAGAATCATGGATCGGCTGCCTCCTGCACGCCCCACACGGGGGATGGAGCCTGCAACCCGGGCCTGTGCCCCAACCGGAATCGAACCCTGACCTCCTGGTTCCTAGGTCGATGCTCAGCCGCGGAGCCACGTCAGCTGGGGGGGGGGGGAGGGTGTCCCCCCACATTTCCTCCCAAGGCTGCCTGAGGCCAAGGAAGGTCAGTGGTTGGGATGTGGGACGAGTGGACGGAAGGACAGACAGGGAGACAGGGCCAGGATCCTGTGAGCAGGCAGCTCTCGCCGACACCCAGTCCCCACACGGGCATCGAAGGGGGAAGGTTCTAGAATGTTCTAGAACGGTGCTGGGCCCGCCTGAGGGACGAGGGGCTCCCCCACAGGCAGCGAGGGGCTTTGATGGGTGGCCAGTGCCTGGGGACAGGGACCCTGCAGCCTGACAGACGGACGGGAATGTCCCCCAGTCTCCCCCTGCAAGGAGCCAAGTGAAGGCAGAAACGGGGGACAGAGATGGGCACCCCCCGACGGGGGGCTCCACGGGGGCCTGAGAGACCCCGGGACCCAGCCGGTGTGGCTCCGTGGCTGAGCCTCGACCTAGGAACCAGGAGGCCAGGGTTCGATTCCCGGTCAGGCACAGGCCCGAGTTGGGGGCTCCATCCCCGTGGGGGGCGTGCAGGAGGCGGCGGATGGATAAGGGGGGGCAGCGGAGACTCTGGGGTACCGTGGGCTCTCGCTGTCCTGCCCGACTCAGTAGGACCCAGAGCCCTGGCATTACCCTCAGGGGATGGGAGGCGGACGGGAGCCGGGCACCCGGGGACACTGAGGCGGGTGTCATCCCTGGCCTGGGGGTGGGGGGCCTGCCAGTGGGGGAGGGGCCCACGCCCCAGTCCCTGCTGAGCGCCTGCAGGGTGGGGGGCTGAGGAGAGAGGCCTACATCCCAGGTCCCCGCTGGGCGCCTGCAGGGGGAGGGGGGAAAGCGGAGAGGCCCACGCCCCAGGTCCCCGCTGGGCGCCTGCAGGGGGAGGGGTCCACGCCCCAGGTCCCCGCTGGGCGCCTGCAGGGTGGGGGGCTGAGGGGAGGGTCCCACGTCCCAGGTCCCCGCTGGGAGCCTGCAGGGTGGGGGGCTGAGGGGAGGGGCCCACGTCCCAGACCCCTGCTCAGGGCCTGCAGGGGGAGCTGGAGGGAAAATGGGGGGCCGGAGCAGGGCACGCACTTGACGTTGGTGTTGGTGCAGATGAGGTACTCGATCTCGTCCGAGTACGGGTTCTGGAAGGTGAAGCTGCTGGTGCGCAGCAGCAGCCACTCGCGGTTCTTGGTGCGGAAGCGGTACATGACGGACAGCACCTGGCCCTTGAGCTTCACCACCTGCGGGCGGAGGGGCGGGCTCAGCGGGAGGGGGCGGGGTCAGTGGGCGGAGGGGCGGAGTCAGCGGGTGGAGGGGCGGGCTCAGCGGGCGGAGTCAGCAGGAGGGACGGGGCAAAGTCAGCGAGGGGATGGGGCGGAGTCAGCGGGCGGAGGGGCGGGGTCAGCGGGAGGGGGAGGAGTCAGTGGGCGGAGGGGCGGAGTCAGTGGGTGGAGGGGCGGGGTCAGTGGGAGGGAGGGGGCGGAGTCAGCGGGAGGGACGGGGCAGAGTCAGCGGGTGGAGGGGGCGGAGTCAGTGGGTGGAGGGGCGGGGTCAGCAGGATGGGGTGGAGTCAGCAGGCAGGGGGCAGAGTCAGTGGGAGGGGGCGGGGGTCAGCAGGATGGGGCGGAGTCAGTGGGTGAAGGGGGTGGGGTTAGCAGGATGGGGTGGAGTCAGTGAGGGGGTGGAGTCAGTGGGCAGAGGGGGCGGGGTTAGCAGGATGGGGTGGAGTCAGCAGGAGGGATGGGGCGGAGTCAGTGGGAGGGAGGGGGGCGGAGTCAGCAGGCGGGACGGTGGTGGAGTCAGCAGGAGAGACAGGGCGGAGTCAGTGGGAGGGAGGGGGCGGAGTCAGTGGGAGGGAGTGGGTGGAGTCAGCGGGGGGGATGGGGCAGAGTCAGCAGGCGGGATGGGGGCGGAGTCAGGAGGAGGGACAGGGCGGAGTCAGCGGGAGGGAGGGGCGGAGTCAGCAGGATAGTCTTGGGTGGAGTCAGCGGGAGGGGCGGGGTCAGTGGGTGGGAGGGGCGGAGTCAGCAGGGGGGTGGGGCGGAGTCAGTGGGAGGGAGGGGGGCGGAATCAGCAGGCGGGACGGGGGCGGAGTCAGCGGGGGGATGGGGCAGAGTCAGCAGGATAGCCAGTGGCAGAGTCAGCAGGAGGGAGGGGCGGGGTCAGCGGGGGGGATGGGGCAGAGTCAGCAGGCGGGATGAGGGCGGAGTCAGAAGGAGGAACAGGGCGGAGTCAGTGGGACGGAGGGGGCGGAGTCAGCAGGAGGGATGGGGCGGAGTCAGCAGGATAGTCTTGGGTGGAGTCAGTGGGAGGGAGGGGCGGGGTCAGTGGGTGGGAGGGGCGGAGTCAGCAGGGGGGTGGGCGGAGTCAGTGGGAGGGAGGGGGCGGAGTCAGTGGGAGGGACGGGGCGGAGTCAGCAGGATAGTCAGGGGCGGAGTCAGCGGGAGGGAGGGGCGGAGTCAGCGGGAGGGTTGGGTGGGGTCATTGGGAGGGAGGGGGCGGAGTCAGCGGGAGGGAGGGGGCGGAGTCAGCGGGAGGGAGGGGCGGGGTCAGGGGAGGGACGTTTATGTAAAAGGGTTTTCCGTTGTGCAGGTACATAGCAGGTGCTCAACTGCACACAGTGGGTGTTCCGTGGACAGGGCTAAGCTCTGGCCGGTGTGACAGTGGACAGGGTGTTGGCCTGCAGACTGAGGGCCCGGGCTCGGCCCGCTCAGGGCACAGACTGAGGGCCCGGGCTCGGCCCGCTCAGGGCACGGGCGCAGTTTGGGGCTCGGCCCATGTGGGGCGGGCGCGGTACCTGCTGGAAGCTCTCCCGCAGGTGGCTCTGGTCCTCCGAGTGGCAGAACTCCAGGATGTCCTTCCCCAGAAGGTCCTGCGGGAGGGGCGACGCTTTAGGGAGCCCTGGCTGGTGTGGCTCAGTGGTTAGAGCGCCGGCCTGCGGACCGAAGGGCTGCGATGCCAGGCAAGCGCACGGACCTCGGTGGCAGGCTCCTCCCCGGCCCGGGCCCTGGTGGGGGCGCGTGCAGGGGCAACCCGTCCATGCGTCTCTCTCCCATCGACATTTCTGCCTCTTCCTCTCTCTTCCTCTCTCAAAGAGTCCTCCTCACCCCGTCTCTAACTCACCCCAGGATGAGGGGGGGGAGTCGGTGAGCATTACCTACTTGGCACCACCCCAATGCCGGCTGCGGGACCCCCATCCCAGGCCCCTGGCCTCGCCGACCCCGGCGTCTCACTCCGCTAAGGCCCCAAGTTGGGGGCGATCAATTCTTCAGGAGAGGGCAGTTAGGGGTGACCAGGCTGGCAGGAAAGGGCAGTTAGACATCAATAAGGCTGGCAGGGGAGCGGTTAGGGGTGATCAGGCTGGCAGGGGAGCTGTTAGAGGGTGATCAGGCTGGCAGGTGAGTGGTCAGGGGGCGATCAGGCTGGCAGGGGAGTGGTTAGGGGGCGATCAGGCTGGCAGGGGAGCAGTTAGGGGGCGATCAGGCTGGCAGGGGACCGGTTAGGGGGCGATCAGGCTGGCAGGGGAGCGGTTAGGGGGCGATCAGGCTGGCAGGGGAGCGGTTAGGGGGCGATCAGGCTGGCAGGGGAGCTGTTAGGGGGCAATCAGGCTGGCAGGGGAGTGGTTAGGGGGTGATCAGGCTGGCGGGGGAGCGGCTAGGCATTGATCAGGCTGGCAGGGGAGCGGTTAGGGGGCGATCAGCTGGCAGGGGAGCGGTTAGGAGTGATCAGACTGGCAGGCAGAAGTGGTTAGGGGCAATCAGGGAGGCAGGCAGGCGAGCAGTTGGGAGCCAGCAGTCCTGGATTGTGAGAGGGGTCCCAGATTGGAGAGGGTGCAGGCTGGGCTGAGGGATCCACCCCCCACCCATGCACAAATTTCGTGCACTGGACCTCTAGTATATATATATATATATATATATATATATATATATATATATATATATATATGCAGCTTTATCTTTATTTTATTTTTTAAGATTTAGGATAACCCTCTCATGCTATTTCATTCAGTTTTTATTCGTTGCTCATCCTCACCTGGCGATATCTTCCCATTGGTTTTTAAAGAGAGTGGATGAGAGAGGGAGAGACAGAGATCGAAACGCCGATGGGAGAGAGATACATGGATGGGCTGCCTCCTGCACGCGCTCCGACCAGGGCCCCTGGCCGGGAGGAGCCTGCCACTGAGGTCTGTGCCGTTGACCTGCATCGAACTCGGGACCCTCCTTCGGTGTGAAGGCCGGTGCTTTAACCACTGAGCCACACCGGCCGGGGCTCCCACGTCCCCAGGGGGACACAGGCCTCTGCTGAAGGCGACAAAGTTTCAAATATAGAAGACACATAAATTCCAACAAAAATGATGGCACCCACGGAGCTGGAGAGAGAGAGCAGGAGGCGATGGAGGAAGCCACGTTTCCTGCACACCTTGGCTGGCCCGGGCCTCTGCTCCAGGTGACAAAGTTTCAATTACAGAAGGGAAACAAATCCAGACAGAAATGGCTGCCGGCCACGGAGCGAGCAGGAGGGCTTGGCTCCGCTCCAGGCTGCAAAGTTTTCAATTACAGAAGGTAGACAAATCTCCGAGACCGGTTTGGCTCAATGGATAGAGCGTCGGCTTGGGGACGGAAGGGTCCTGGGTTCGATTCCGGTCAAGGGCATGGACCTTGGTTGCGGGCACATCCCCAGTAGGGGATGTGCAAGAGGCAGCTGATCAATGACTCTCTCATCAATGTTTCTAACTCTCTATCTCTCCCTTCTTCTCTGTACAAAATCAATAAAAAAATATATATATATATATATATATATATATTTTTTTTTTTTTTAAAAGGTAGCCAAATCCAAACAGAAATGGCTGCCGGCCAGGGAGCGAGCAGGAGGGCTTGGCTCCGCTCCAGGCTACAAAGTTTCCCCTGGGCCCTGCACCCCGTGACTGAGCCGTGTCCTGAGCACAGGACGTGGTGCAGGAGGCTGGGCCGTCCCCAGCAGCCCTGAGCCAGGGCGGGTGACGCACCTGGGGCTGGTAGCCAATGACGCTGATGCATCGGGGGTCCACGAAGGTGATGACGCCATCGGCGTTGTGCCGGGACAGGAACTCCGTGGGCACCGCCATCCCGCTCATGTCCATGCACACGGGGGAGCTGGTCACCTGCGGGGGGCGCCACGTGAGGAGGAGGAGGAGGGGCGGGGCCGGTCCGCGGAGCCTGCCACGCCATGAGCTCGCGTGAGGCCGGCGGTGGGTAGTTTGGCGGCCCGGCCAGTATCACGGAATGTGAGGGACGTTTTACTGGAAAGGTTGTCGCCTGACTTTTATAATATCCTGTTGTGCATAACTTAGCTACATAATAAAGAGGTGATATGCAAATGGACCGTCACTCCAACACACAAGATGGCCGACCGCATGTGGACACAAGATGGCCGGCAGGGGAGGGCAGTTAGGGGTGACTAGGCTGGCAGAGGAGGGCAGTTAGGGGAGGACCAGGCCTGCAGGGGAGGGCAGTTAGGGGAGGACCAGGCCTGCAGGGGAGGGCAGATAGGGGAGGACCAGGCCTGCAGGGGAGGGCAGTTAGGGGAGGACCAGGCCTGCAGGGGAGGGCAGTTAGAGGCAAACAGACTGGCAGGGGAGCAGTTAGACATCAATCAGGCTGGCAGGGGAGGAGTGGTTAGGGGGTGATCAGGCTGGCATGGGAGTGGTTAGGGGGTGATCAGGCCTGCAGGGGAGGGCAGTTAGGGGCGATCAGGCAGGCAGAGGAGAGCAGTTAGGCGTCGATCAGGCTGGTAGGGGAGTGGTAAGGGGTGATCAGGCTGGCAGGGGAGGGCAGTTAGGGGCAACAGGCTGACAGGGGCGTGGTTAGGGGGTGATTAGGCTGGCAGGCAGAAGCGGTTGGGGGCAATCAGGAAGGCAGGCAGGCAGGCAGTTGGGAGCCAGCAGTCCTGGATTGCGAGAGGGGTCGGAGTGCACACGTGTAGGGCTCAGAGTGCACACGTGTGGGGATTGGAGTGCACACGTGAAGGGGTCAGAGTGCACACGTGTGGGGGTCAGAGTGCACACGTGTGGGGGTCGGAGTGCACACATGTAGGGGTCAGAGTGCACACGTGTGGGGGTCGGAGTGCACACGTGTAGGGGTCGGAGCACACACGTGTGGGGGTCGGAGTGCACACGTGTAGGGGTCGGAGTGCACACGTGTGGGGGTCGGAGCACACACGTGTGGGGGTCGGAGTGCACACGTGTAGGGGTCAGAGTGCACACGTGTGGGGGTCAGAGTACACACATGTGGGGGTCAGAGCCCACACCTGTGGGGGTCGGAGTGCACACGTGTAGGGGTCAGAGTGCACACGTGTAGGGGGTCAGAGCCCACACATGTGGGGGTCAGAGTGCACACATGTAGGGGTCAGAGTGCACACGTGTGGGGATCAGAGTGCACACGTGTGGGGATCAGAGTGCACACGTGTGGGGGTCAGAGTGCACACGTGTGGGGATCAGAGTGCACACGTGTGGGGGTCAGAGTGCACACATGTAGGGGTCGGAGTGCACACGTGTGGGGGTCAGAGTGCACACATGTAGGGGTCGGAGTGCACACGTGTGGGGGTCAGAGCCCACACCTGTGGCGGTCAGAGCACACACGTGTGGGGGTCGGAGCGCACACGTGTGGGGGTCAGAGTGCACACATGTAGGGGTCAGAGTGCACACGTGTGGGGGTCGGAGCGCTCCAGGCCTAGGGTGCGCCCAGCGGTCTGCACTCCAGCTCCCTCTGCTCCCGGCCCAGCCTCCCCGCCTTCCAGAGCGGGACCCGGCCCGCACCCGGAATGCACGGGAGCTGGGCAGCCCCGGCCCCGGGGAGGGGCGCCTCGCCCAGCGCCTCACCTGCAGCCGGCCGATGGCCACCAGGCAGTACTTGCTGCCCTGCCCCACCTCAGCGTCCTCCTCGGGGATGGTCATTCCTGAAAGAGGCGGCGTCAGGCGAACGGGAAGGGGCGAAGGGCCCCACGAGTTCACCCCGGCACGCGGGCCCACCAGCCCTGCCCGCTCCTCTCTCTGCTGACGTCCTTCTTTTTAAAACACATTTTTATTGATTTCTGAGGGGGGGGGAGGGGAGAGGGCAGTCCATGATGAGAGAAAATCTCCCACATGCCCCCCCGCTGGGGATGTGCCCGCAGCCAAGGTCCACGCCCCTGACCGGGATCGAACTGGGACCCTTCCGTCCGCAGGCCGGCGCTCTGACCACTGAGCCACACCGGTTCAGACCAGAGCGGGATTTTCGTAGGAAGGAGTGTCCTGGCCATTGGAGCAACGTTTTGACGATTCCCTGGTGGGTTTCCCAAGCCCAGTGGGCCCTCCCTGAACCCACCTTTGCTTGGGGTCTGAATAAACCCCAGTAAGACACACACACACTCAGACTCACACACACAGACACACATATGCACACAGAGACACACAGACACACGCACAGACACACACATACACACACACAGACACACACAGAGACACACACATACACACAGAGACACACAGACACAAACACACACGGAGACACACAGCGACACAGACACACAGACACACATATACACACAGAGACACACAGACACACACACAGAACACAGACACACACTCACAGAGACACACAGACACACACAGACACACACTCACAGACACACAAACACACACACAGACACACACTCACAGACACACACTCACAGAGGCACACACAGAGACACAGACACACACTCACAGAGACACACAGACACAGACACACACAGAGACACAGACACACACTCACAGAGACACACCGACACAGACACACAAAGAGAGAGACACACACAGAGATACACACACACAGACACATACACAGAGACACATACACACAGACACACACAGAAACACATACATAAACACACACAAAGACTCACACAAACACACACAGAGACACACACAGACACACAGAGAGAGACACACACACACACAGACACACACCGACACACAGAGACACACACAGAGAGAGACACACAGAGAGACACACACACAGAGACACATACACACAGAAACACATACATAAACACACACAAAAGACTCACACAGATACACACACAGACACACACAGAGACACAGACACACACAGACACACAGAGAGACACACACAGAGACATACACAGACACACACAGAGACACGGACACACACAGACACACAGAGAGACACACACAGAGACATACACAGACACACACAGAGACACGGACACACACACACACACACACCCCAAGTGAAACTAGAAACTGCTCTTGGGGAGGAAATTCGGCACCAGCCAGAAATGCCTCTCAGACCTGGCTGGTGTGGCTCAGTGGAGAGAGCGCCGGCCTGCGAATGGAAGGGTCCCGGGTTCGATTCCCGTCAAGGGCAGCATGCACCTTGGCTGCGGGCACATCCCCAGTGGGGGGTGTGCAGGAGGCAGCTGGTTGATGTTTCTCTCTCATCGGTGTTTCTGCTCTCTGTCCCTCTCCCTCCCTCTCTGTAAGAAACCAGTAAAACACGTGGCTCTGGCCCCAGCCGGGGAGTATGGCCTGGACTCGGACCCTCACAGGGAATGAAGACCTATTTTCCTGCATTCCGCCACACGGGGGCGGGGGCGGCGGAGAATTCCGAGGAGAGGGATCCGGGCCACGGCTCCCAGCGCCTGCCAGCATCCTCTCTGGGGAGAGCAATCACGTTAGACAAAAAAAAAAAAAAAAAAAAAAAAAATTAAAAATAGAAGTTCCCAATGCGTTTGGGAAGCGTCGTTTAAACAATGATGAAAGGAGGGGACCATGGCTCAGCGGTTGAGCATCCACCTAGGAACCAGGAGGTCAGGGTTCGATTCCCGGTCGGGGCACAGGCCCGGATGGCAGGCTCCATCCCCAGTGGGGGGCGTGCAGGAGGCAGCCGACCCGTGATTCTCTCTCATCATGGATGTTTCTCTCTCTCTCTCTCCCCCTCTCCCTTCCTCTCTGAGATCAATAAAAATTTATTTTTAAAACTAATTTAAGGCCTAACTGGTGTGGCTCAGTGGATAGAGCGTCGGCCTGCGGACTCAAGGGTCCCGGGTTCGACTCCGGCCAAGGGCATGTGCCTTGGTTGTGGGCACATCCCCGGTCGGGGGTGTGCAGGAGGCAGCTGATGGATGGTTCTCTCTCATCGATGTTTCTAGCTCTCTATCTCTCTCCCTTCCTCTCTAAAAAAAAAAAAAAAATCAATAAAATATATTTTTTAAATAATTTTTTTAAAAAGACTTCTTTGAAAATAAAAAAAGAAAGTGTCATTGCCACCCAGGCGGTGTCGCTCAGTGGTTGAGTGCCGACCTAGGAACCAGGAAGTCACGGTTCGATTCCCGGTCAGGAACTGATGGTTCTTTTTCTTTTTTTTTTCTTTTTTAAATATATTTTATTGATTTTTTACAGAGAGGAAGAGAGAGGGACAGAGAGAAACATCGATGAGAGAGAAACATCCATCAGCTGCCTCCTGCACACCCCCCACTGGGGATGTGCCCGCAGCCAAGGCACATGCCCCTGACCGGAATCGAACCCGGGACCCTTCAGTCCGCAGGCTGAGGCTCTATCCACTGAGCCACACCGGTTTCGGAAAGAAATGATGTTTCTACCTCTTTCTCATCTTCCCTTCCTCTCTGACATCAACTAAAAAAAAAAAAAGTGTTGCTTTAAAAAAATAAATAAAATAAAAATAAACAGGAACCATGACTAGCAGGTTGGGATTGAGAAACTCCAGGAATTTGTAAGAAGCGAAGCAGGAAATTGGGGCCAAACTGTCCATGGCACAGAACACGGATCCGGGAAATGGAGACGGGGCTCCCGGGTGTGAGGGGAGCGAGCTGGGAGCAGAGCCGCTTGGAACCATCTAGAAAAATTCCACCCACCCACCCACCCCCCACTCCCCACCCCCTGCAGAGAGACGCCCGGGCCTGCTGAGCAGGGGCCGGCCCAGCACCGGGCAAAATGCATGCAAACAGGTCCTGGCTGGTGTGGTTCAGTGGATAGAGCGTCGGCCTGCAGACCAAAGGGTCCCGGGTTCGATTCCCGGTCAAGGGCACAAGCGTGGGTTGCTGGGCTTGATCTCCAGTGTGGGGCGTGCAGGAGGCAGCCGATGGATGTCTCTCTCTCGTCATGGATGTTTCTCTCTCTCTCTCTCCCTTCATCTCTGTTTAAAAAAAAAAAAAATCGATACAATATATATATTTTAAGAATGAAGTGCTGTCAGGCTCCCCGGGAAGGCCCCGGTGTGCCCGGAGGGGCTCCGGAAGTGACCGGAACGTTCCGTGACGTGTGTGCTCAACGTGGACTCCGCTCGGCCAGCAGACTCAGGAGGGAGCAGGCGGGTGGCTGGTGGGCTGTCAAAGACTCTTTTTTTATTTTATTTTATTTTATTTTATTTTATTTTATTTTATTTTATTTTATTTTTATTGATGTCAGAGAGGAAGGGAGAGGGAGAGCGAAAGAAACATCCACGATGAGAGAGAATCACGGATCGGCTGCCTCCTGCACGCCCCACCCTGGGGATGGAGCCCACAGCCAAGGGACATGCCCTTGGCCGGAATCTTACCGGGGACCCTTCGGTCCCAGGGCCTGGTCTCTAACCACTGAGCAACATCGGCTAGGGCTATGCATTGCTTTTTTAGAGAGAGAGAAAAAGGAAGAGAGAGGGAGAGGGAAACATCCATGATGAGAGAGAATCATGGATCAGCTGCCTCCTGCACGCCCCCCACTGGGGATGGAGCCTGCCACCCGGGGCGAGTGCCCTTGACCGGGAATCCAACCCTGGCCTCCTGGCTCACAGGTGGACACTCAGCCAGACAAACCCTAAGGATATTTTATGGATGTTTTACAGAGAGGAAGAGAGAAGGAGAGAGTCAGAAACATCGATGAGAGAGAGAATCATCGACCAGCTGCCTCCTGCATGCCCCCCCACTGGGGATGTGCCCGCAACCAAGGTCCCTGCCCTTGACCGGAATCGAACCTGGGACCCTTCAGTCTGCAGGCTGACACTCTATCCATTGAGCCACACCGGTCAGGGCACATTTTTATTTCAATATGTATTTTTGTTGATTTCAGAGAGGAAGGGAGAGGGATAGAGTCAGAAACATCGATGAGAGAGAGAGAGACATCCATCAGCTGCCTCCTGCACGCCCCCACCTGGGGATGTGCCCGCAACCAAGGTCCCTGCCCTTGACCGGAATCGAACCCGGGACCTTTCAGTCCGCAGGCCGACGCTCTGTCCACGGAGCCACACCAGCCAGGGCCCTAAGAATCTGTTGACGAGGCTCCTGCTGGCTCCTGCCCCCTCCCGGGCACCTCCCGAGGGGCGGCCCCCGGGGCTCCCACAGGCCCGGCCAGGCCGTGCTGGGAAGGCTGGTTCCCAGGAGCAGGTCAGTGTTTACACCGCAGGACGCTGAGCTCATGGGCGCGCGGGCGGGCCGGCATTCCTCGCGGCCGTTTTACGAGGCACGACGGGAGCATGGAGCGAGGGGCCGCCCCCGGCTCCGGGTCCCGTGGCCTGGCCTGGGGGGTAAGAGGGCCAGCGGCCGGATGGCCGCCTCTGCCTTCCTGGAAATGTGTCCTGGCCCCGGCCGGTGCAGCTCAGTGGTTAGAGTGGTGGTTTTCCGCCTTCCTAATGCCTCAACCCTCTCACACAGGGCCTCATGGTATGGTGACCCCCGCCCCCCAACCACTGTAATTTTGCTACTTGTGTGTGTGTGTGTGTGTGTGTGTGTGTGTGTGTGGTTTTTTCGAAAAACATTTTTATTTTTTACAGAGAGGAAGCCAGAGGGACAGAGAGTCAGACACATCGACAGAAACATCGATCAGCCGAAACCGGTTTGGCTCAGTGGTAGAGCGTCGGCCTGCGGACTGAAAGGTCCCGGGTTCGATTCCGGTCAAGGGGCATGTACGTTGGTTGCGGGCACATCCCCGGTAGGGGGTGTGCAGGAGGCAGCTGGTCTATGTTTCTCTCTCATCGACGTTTCTAGCTCTCTATCCTTCTCCCTTCCTCCTCTCTGCAAAATATCAATAAAATATATTTAAAAAAGAAAGAAAGAAAGAAAGAAAGAAAGAAAGAAAGAAAGAAAGAAAGAAAGAAAGAAAGAAAGAAAGAAAGAAAGAAAATGCCTTTTGAAATTCTGGCAAGAAATTCTTTCCTCGGTCCATCCAGCCAGAGCAAGAGTCCTCCCACCTTTCCTTCCTTCTTTCATCCCATCCCTCCTTCCCTCCACCCCTCCGGTCTTCATGAAACGCCTACTAAGTGCCAGGCCGAGCCCAGCACCGGGCAGAGGAACGCCTGAAGCATGAGGGGGGGGCGGGGGCCTGGCCGGTGTGGCTCAGTGGCTGAGCATCGACCTAGGAACCAGGAGGTCACGGTTCGATTCCCGGTCAGGGCACAGGCCCGGGTGGCGGGCTCCATCCCTAGCGGGGGGCGTGCAGGAGGCAGCCGGTCCAGGATTCTCTCTCCTCATGAATATTCCTATCTCGCCCTCATCCTCTCTGAAATCAACAGAAATCTATACTCATAAAAGGGTAATATGCTAATGAGACTGACATCTTCCGGACGACCTTCCAGAGGGTCCTTCCGCACAAAACCTGCAGTGGTGGGTGGGCCGAGGCAGAGGTGCTTAGAGGTGATCAGGCCGGCAGGGGAGAGCAGTTAGGGGTGATCAGGCCGGCAGGGGAGAGCAGTTAGGGGCGATCAGGCCGGCAGGGGAGAGCAGTTAGGGGTGATTAGGCCAGCAGGGAGAGCAGTTAGAGGCAATCGGCCAGCAGGGGAGGGCAGTTAGGGGTGATTAGGCCAGCAGGGAGAGCAGTTAGAGGCAATCGGCCAGCAGGGGAGGGCAGTTAGGGGCGATCAGGCCAGGAGAGGAGAGCAGTTAGGGGCAATCAGCCAGCAGGGGAGAGCAGTTAGGGGTGATCAGGCCAGGAGAGGAGAGCAGTTAGGGGCAATCTGGCAGGCAGGCAGGTTAGTGGTTAGGCGCCAGCAGTCCTGGATTGCAAGAAGGATGTCCGAAACCAGCAGTCGGACTTCCTCCCGGTGGTCCTGGATAGGAGAGGGTGCAGGCCGGGCTGAGGGGACCGCCCAGGCCCTGTGCACGAATTTCGTGTACTGAGCCTCTAGCATATTACAAAAATAAGATTGGCCTCTGTGTTCGTGATGCATCACCTGCCTCTGTTCTAACACTTCCTGGCGCCCTGTCTCATCCGACATGCCCCTGAAGCCAGCTCACTTCCCACTGGCCCATGTGATAGATGCTCCAGGCTCATATTTTGTTTTTTTCTTTTTGTTTTTTGTTTTTTAATATATTTAATTGATTTTTTTACAGAGAGGAAGGGGGAGAGCTAGAGAGCTAGAAACATTGATGAGAGGAAAACATCGACCAGCTGCCTCCTGCACACACACACCCTCCCCCGGGGATGTGCCCGCAACCAAGATCCATCCCCTTAACCAGAATCGAACCCGGGACCTTTCAGTCTGCAGACCGATGCTCTATCCACTGAGCCACACCGGTTTCGGCTCCAGGCTCGTATTTTGAACACATTTTTTACTGATTTCAGAGAGGAAGGGAGAGGGAGAGAGAGTCAGAAACATCGATGAAAGAGAAACATTGATCAGCTGCCTCTGGTACACTCCCTACTGGGGATGTGACCGCAACCAAGGTCCATGCCCTCGACCGGAATGGAACCCCGGGACCCCTCAGTCCCCAGGCGGAGGCTCTATCCACTGAGCCAAATTGGTTGAGGCTTAGATAATTTCTTTTTAAATCTTTTTTTTATATATATATTTTATTAATTTTTTTTATAAAGAGGAAGGGAGAGAGATAGTTAGAAACATCGACCAGCTGCCTCCTGCACACCCCCCACTGGGGATGTGCCCGCAACCAAGGTCCATGCCCTTGACCGGAATCGAACCCGGGACCTTTCAGTCCGCAGGCCGACGCTCTATCCACTGGGCCACACCGGCCAGGGCTCCTGTGCTCATTTTTCCCTTCGGAGTTAAAAAAAATGTGTTTTTCGGGCACTTTCCTCTTTCTTTTCTTTTTGTCCACATGGTCCCCAGGGCGCCCCCTGGCCCCGTGCTCAGCAGGACGTGTCCCTCCTCCCTCCTGCGCCTCCCCCTCACATACTTCCAGGCCGAAATCACCTCCCGCCTCCTCCAACACAAACACCGGCTGCTGCCACCCGCCGCCCGGGGCCAAGTTTCCAGGCCTCGCCCGTCACCCGTCCCACGGCCGGCCGGCCACCCTGTCCCGGGCACTCCCAGCACAGAGCCCCCCGCACCCGCCCCAGCCGCCCTGCCTGCACCCAGCCGGCCCCCTCCCCCTGCTCCCCTACAGGACGCCTCCCGTTAGCCATACAGCCATCTATCGGGGCGCTGCTGGCGGGTGCTGTGCGCCTGGAGCCCCAGTACTGTGCCAAGAGCGAGCTGGTGGGGCCAGAAACTGTCCTTACACTGGCCAGTTCCTCTTCCTTCTGCCTGCCAGCCTGATCGCCCCCTAACCGCTCCCCCGCCAGCCTGATCGCCCCCTAACCGCTCCCCTGCCAGCCTGATTGCCCCAAACCGCTCCCCTGCCAGCCCGATCACCCCATAACCGCCCCCTGCCAGCCTGATCGCCCCAAACCGCTCCCCTGCCAGCCCGATCACCCCATAACCGCCCCCTGCCAGCCTGATCGCCCCCTGACCGCTCCCCTGCCAGCCTGATCGCCCCCTAACCGCTCCCCTGCCAGCCTGGTCGCTCCTAACCGCTCCCCCGCCAGCCTGATTGCCCCTAACCGCTCCCCTGCCAGCCTGATCACCCCTAACTGCTCCCCTGCCAGCCTGATCGCCCACTAACTGCTCCCCTGCCAGCCTGGTCAATGCCTAGCCGCTCCCCTGCCAGCCTGGTCGCCCCCTAACCGCTCCCCCGCCATCTGGTCGCCTCCTAACCGCTCCCCCGCCAGCCTGATCGCCCCCTAACCGCTCTCCTGCCAGCCTGTTTGCCCCCTAACAGCTCCCCCGCCAACCTGATCGCCCCCTAACAGCTCCCCCGCCAGCCTGATCGCCCCCTAACCGCTCCCCCGCCAGCCTGATCACTCCCTAACCGCTCCCCTGCCAGCCTGATCGCCCCCTAACCACTCCCCTGCCAGCCTGATCGCCCCCTAACCACTCCCCTGCCAGCATGATCGCCCCCTAACCACTCCCCCACGAGCCTGATCGCCCCCTAACCGCTCCCCTGCCAGCATGATCGCCCCCTAACTGCTCCCCTGCCAGCCTGGTCAATGCCTAACTGCTCCCTGTTAGGCCCAATTGCCTCTAACTGCCCTCCCCTGATCAGGCTGGCGGGGGAGCAGTTAGGGGGCGACCAGGCTGGCAGGGGAGCGGCTAGGGGTGATCAGGCTGGCGGGGGAGTGGTTAGGGGGCGATCAGGCTGGCAGGCAGAAGGAAGAGGAACTGGCCGGTGTACGGACAGTGATTAACTCAAACAAGGAAAACGTTAATTGGGGACGGTCAGCTCGGCCGGCGTGGCTCGATGGCTGAGCGTCGACCTATGAACCAGGAGGTCAGGGTTCGATTCCCGGTCAGGACACAGGCCCAGGTTGCAGGCTGGATCCCCAGTGTGGGGTGTGCAGGAGGCAGCTGGTCCATGATTCTCTCTCCTCATGGATGTTTCCCCTTCCTCTTCGAAATCAAAACCCCAATTTTTTTTTGGGGGGGGGGGGAAGGGAGGGGTCTACATATATAAAAGCCTAAGCGACCGAACCATCAAATAGCCAGCTGACCGGTTGCTAGGACACGCACTGACCACCAGGGGGCAGACGCTCCCGGCAGAAAGGCGGTCCTCAGGCTGAACACCTGAGTCACTCGGGCTGTTTTTTGTTTTGTTTTCCAAGTAGCCGCACCCTTTTGCCTTCCCGCCCGCGATACGTGGAGATCTGACACGTTCCCTGTCCTCCCCGACCCTGGCGACAGCCCGTTCTCACCGTCCGCGTGCCAGGGGCACCGTGTGGTTCTGACGCGTGTTTCTCTGACGCCTTGGACACAACCACCTCGGGCTTTAGGACACGCGGGGGGCCACAGACGGCAGACACGGTGCCGGGGGGAGGGGGATAGGGGAGGGGGCCGTCCCCCGGAACGGTTCGCAGGCGGGTCTGCTCACCTGCGGGCGGCCAGGCCTTGATGTAGCCGGTGCAGTGGACCACGGCGTACTGGGCCTCCCCTTCCTTCACGGGCCCCAGGCCGTTCCTGCGGGAAGAAGGGTCCCCGCCCGGGGGTCAGGCGAGGGGGCCGGCGGCTCCTCCCGTGCCCGAGCCACCGGGGTCCCTGGTTCGCCTGGAGGTTTTGAACCTTGACTGTTTCCCCTCCTCCCGCAGAGTCTGAGAGTCCAAAATAAACACCCCTGTCCCCCAGCTCCCTTTCTCATCTCAGCCCAGAGACCCGGCGTGCTGGGTCTCCTGGTCCTCCCCACACTCAGCCCCTCTCTATATCCGGCTACTCCTCTCCACACCCAGCTACTCCTCTCCACACCCAGCTACTCCTCTCCACGCCCAGCTACTCCTCTCCACGTCCACCTATTCCTCTCCACGCCCAGCTACTCCTCTCCACGCCCAGCTACTCCTCTCTACGCCCAGCTACTCCTCTCCACGTCCAGCTACTCCTCTCCACACTCAGCTACTCCTCTCCACACTCAGCTACTCCTCTCCATACCCAGCTACTCCTCTCCACGCCCAGCTACTCCCCTCCACGTCCAGCAACTCCTCTCCACACCCAGCTACTCCTCTCCACGTCCACCTACTCCTCTCCACGCCCAGCTACTCCTCTCCACGTCCAGCTACTCCTCTCCATACCAGCTACTCCTCTCCACAACCAGCTACTCCTCTCCAAAACCAGCTACTCCTCTCCATACCCAGCTACTCCTCTCCACAACCAGCTACTCCTCTCCAAAACCAGCTACTCCTCTCCATGCCCAGCTACTCCTTTCCCCGCTCAGCTACTCCTCTCCATGTTCAGCTACTCTTCCCCCAGCTCAGCTATTCCTCTTCACGCCCAGCTACTCCTCTCCACATTCAACTGCTCCCCAGCTTAGGGCCCTTAGCTACCTCCCAGCAGTGCCAGAAACAGAATAATAATTTTAAAAAAAAAACCCTACGGACCTGAACCGCTTCCTCATGGTGGTGATCCTGCTGAGCGGCAGGTGGTCCAGCGGAGCATTCCCACACCTAAGAGTCGAAAGACACGTTAGCGTAAGCGAAGGCCCGGGCCAGCTATGAATCATACAGGGCCTGGCCGGCGCGGCTCCGGAACCAGGAGGTCAGGGTTCGAATCCCGGTCAGGGCACAGGCCCGGGTCACGGGCTTGATCCCCAGGAGGGGGCGTGCAGGAGGCAGCCGATCCATGATCCTCTCTCCTCATGGATGTTTCTTTCTCTCTCTCTCTCTCTCTCTCTCTCTCTCTCTCTCTCTCTCCCTTCCACTCTGAGATCAATAATGTTAGGTTTAACGATAAGCGAGTCAATTATACCCAGAGACCTGGGACAGCGCCCGCCCTGGCGTGGGCCTAAGGAACAGCAGGGGCAATGCCCGCCTAGCTGCCCACGCCCTGGCACAGCCCTCCGCCCTCCAGCCAGCGTATTATGGTGTTTCCGGTTTGGTCCCGAATGAGACACGCTCTCCTCAGAGGGCAGAGCTGCTCACGTCACCGGTGACGCCAGAGCATCCGGGGCACGAGGGGCCGCCTCGGAGGGCGTGCAGGAGCCGAATCATCCACGTCTCTCTCCCGTGTGGGTGTTTCTCCCTCCCTCTCACCCCGCTCCCTCCCTCCCCTCTTCTCTTCCTCCCTCCCTTCCTTCTTCCCTCCCTCCCGCTCTCTCTAAAAACCAACAGAATAACCCGAGTTCGATTCTGGTCAAGCACATGGACCTTGGTTGCGGGCACATCCCCAGTGGGGGGCGTGCAGGAGGCAGCTGATGGATGTTTCTCTCTCATGGATGCTTCTAACTCTCTATCCCTATCCTTTCCTCGCTGTAAAAAAATCAATAAGATATATTTTCTTAAAAAAATTCAAATGCATAAAAGAAGCTTTAAAACTGTTATTCTTTGAGAGAGAGAGAGAGAGAGAGAGAGAGAGAGAGGAGGAAGCCACAGCAGTGAACCCAAGGTGGCCTGTGTGCCTCACCCCCCCACCCCCACCCTCCCACCAGCCACGGAGGCAATCCTCCACTGTAGCCACGCCCACCACCCGCCAAAAAACGCCCACATCACCATAGCCACACCCACCACCCGACAGAGCCACGCCCACAACTACTACGGCCACACCACCACCTGCCAAAGCCACGCCCACCACTGCAACCACACCCACTGAGGCCATGCCCATAACCACTATGGTCACGCCCACCCCTGCCAAAGCCACGCCCACCACTCCAACCACATACCACCCACTGAGGCCACGCCCATAACCACCACAGCCACGCCCACCACGGCCATGCGCATCTGTTGAAGCCACGCCCACCACTGCAACCACACCACAGAGGCCACGCCCATAACCACTATGGTCACGCCCACCCCTCCCAAAGCCACGCCCACCACTCCAACCACCCACCACCCACTGAGGCCACGCCCACAACCACCACAGCCACGCCCACCACCTGTCAAAAGTCATGCCCACCACCTGCCAAAGCCACGCCCAGCACTACTGCGGCCACGCCCACCACCTGTCAAAAGCCACGCCCACTGCCCACCCAGACAGACCTCATCCTGCAGATGAAGGAGCGCCTGGAGCCCATGCACATGCGCATGGAGGACTGCTGCCCCTCCTTCTTCACGGTCCCCGTCTTCAGGTCCAGGATCCGGCCTGAGGGGGGGGGAGAGAGAGAGAGAGAGAGCGAGCAGGGCGGTGCATCAGCCTCAGCCTCGGCCTGTGGGCCTCGGGGGGCGGGGGCGGGGGCAGGGAGCTCGCTGCACCCGCTCTGCAATGAGAACCCACAGGGTCCCGCCCCTCGTCCCGAGAGTTCCCAGCATCCTTTGCCTGCAAGTTCCCAGCATCCTTTGCCTGCAAGTTCCCAGCATCCTTTGCCTTCAAGTTCCCAGCATCCTTTGCCTGCAAGTTCCTTTGGCAGGAAATGCAGGGGGCGGTACACTCTGCACAATCCCAAAGGCCCGTTTTCTTTTTAAAAAAGACTAGAGGCCGGTGCATGAATTCGCGCACAGGTGGGGTCCCTCAGCCGGGCTGGCGATCAAGGCCTCTCACCCAGTCCGGAGCTGGAAGGGGGGGGGGGGGAACGGGACCGTGGGAGGTTGGCTGCACACTGACCCCCAGGGGGAAGCTCCTGCATTGAGTGTCTGCCCCCTGGTGGTCAGTGCACGTCATAGCCACTGGTCTCCCGGTTGTTTGGTCAACCGCTTGTAATGGTCGCTTAGTCTTTTATTTATGGAGGTGTTTCTAGCCCTAACCGGTGTGGCTCAGTGGATAGAGCGTCGGCCTGCAGACTGAAGGGTCCCGGGTCCAATTCCGGTCAAGGGCATGGACCTTGGTTGTGGGCTCATCCCTAGTGGGAGGTGTGCAGGAGGCAGCTGGTCGATGATTCTCTCTCATCGATGTTTCTAGCTCTCTATCCCTCTCCCTTCCTCTCTAAAAAATCAATTAAAACTATATATATATATATATATATATATATATATATATATATATATATTATTTCAGAGAGGACGGGAGAAGGATAGATAGAAACATCTGTAATGAGAGAGAATCGTGGATTAGCTGCCTCCTGCACGCCCCACACAAGGGGATCAAGCCCGCAACCTGGGCAAGTGCCCTAAGTTGGAAGTGAACCCGGGACCCTTCAGTCCGCAGGCCTACGCTCTATCCACTGAGCCACACAAGCCAGGAACATTGATATGAATTTCTTTTAATATATATTTTTTTATTGATTTTAGAGAGGAAGGAAGCTAGACACATCCATGATGACAGAATCACGGATCAACTTGCCTCCAGCACGCCCCCCCCCCCCCCCCCCCCGTCCTGGGAATGGAGCCGGCACCCCGGGCCTGTGCCCTGACCGGGAATCGAACCCTGACCTCCTGGCTGCGAGGTCGGCGCTCAGCCACGAAGGCTCAGCTTTTTGTTTTTATTTTTTGACGGCGAAGAATCGGACGTTTGTCTTGGATATAAAATCGCCCGGGAAGGCTGTGCATTCCTAAAACGCCGGAACACAAATAGAAATCAGGATGCTTCCATCAAAGCAATCCTGGAGAGAACGGGAAACGTCGTATCCTGTCGTGTTTTGTTTTGTTTTTTTAAAAAAAGGAGGCAAACCACCCTGGCCGGTGTGGCTCAGTGGATAGAGCGCCTGCCAAGCAGTGTCTGTGTGTGCACACTCCCAACCCCACCACAAGGGGAGGTGCTAACGAGAAGCCACCGAGGCGGCGAGGAGGGCAGCCAGGGCTGCACAGACCCTCAGAGGGAACCACCTTGGGCGATGACAAGGCCAAGACGGGCAGGTGAGCCCTGGCCCCTGTGGCTCAGTGGTTAGAGCGCCAACCTGCGGACCAAAGGGTCCCGGGTTCGGTTCCAGTCAGGAGCTCGCACCTCGGTGGCAGGCTCCTCCCTGGCCCGGGCCCTGGTTGGACGGAGCGCATGCAGGAGGTCGCCCATCGATGTGTCTCTCTCCCATCCATGTTCCTCTCTGTCTCTCTCTCCTTCTGCCTTCCACTCTCTCTAAAAATCAACGGGGAAATATCCTCAATGGAGGATTAACAAAAAAAGAAAATTAACAAAACAAAAAAAAGAAACGGGTTTGGCTCAGTGGATAGAGCGTCGGTCTGCGGACTGAAGGGTCCCGGGTTTGATTCCAGTCAAGGGCATGTGCCTTGGTTGCGGGCACATCCCCAGTAGGGGGCATGCAGGAGGCAGTTGATGAATGTCTCTCTCTCTCTCTCTCTCTCTCTCTCATGGATGTTTCTGACTCTCTATCCCTCTCCCTTCCTCTCTGAAATCAACAAAAATACATATTGAAATAAAAAATGTGCCCTGACCGGTGTAGCTCAGTGGATAGTGCATTGGCCTGCGGACTGAGGGGTCCCGGGTTCGATTCCGCTCAAGGGCATGTATGTACCTTGGTTGCGGGCACATCCCCAGTGGGGGGTGTACAGGAGGCAGCTGATGGATGGTTCTCTCTCATCGATGTTTCTGACTCTCTATCCCTCTCCCTTCCTCTCTGTAAAAAAAAAAAAAAAAAAAAAAAAAAAAAAAAAAAATCAATAAAAAATATATATTTTTTAAATAAAGGGCTGGGGGTGTGTGGGGAGGAAGCCAGGGGGCACAGAGCCCAAACACGGGAGACAGGCTCCGGCTGCCCTCCCACCCAGACCGCCGGGCCCCCCCAGTCTCTCACACACACACACACACACACACACACACACACACGCACACACACGCACACACCGGCACTCACATTCCAGGCATGACACACAGTCATGCGGCACCCGGTGGCGGCCGAGGTCTGCTGTTCATTAAGAAGCCGCCCCCCCTGGTCTCCCCCCTCCCTCCCCCCGGCCGGCACCTCTCCTGCCGTCTAATCTGCAGACACGAGCACAAACCCCCGCCCTGTTTAGAAGGCCCCAGGGTGTGATCTAAAGACATACATACATTCCTCTGCAGGGATCATGCTCCAGGAATGCCAGCAATGTGGGCCCCGAGGGGTGACTGGTTAGCCTCCCGCCCCCTCCACCCCCCGTCCTCCGTCTGTCCCTCTGGGCGGACACGGGGTTCGAGAAGGGAAGCTGAGGCCATGCCTGCTCTCGCCGCCCTCGCCTGCCAGCGTAACGAGAGGATCAAAAAGCTGAAAGGTAGCCGAAACCGGTTTGGCTCAGTGGATAGAGCGTCGGCTTGGGAACTGAAGGGTCCCGGGTTCGATTCCGGTCAAGGGCATGGACCTTGGTTGCGGGCACATCCCCAGTGGGGGGTGTGCAAGAGGCAGCTGATCGATGACTCTCTCTCATCGATGTTTCTAACTCTCTATCTCTCTCCCTTCCTCTCTGTACAAAATCAATAAAATATATTTTAAAAAATAAAAATAAAATAATAATAATAATAATTAATAAATAGAAAAGATGGGAAGGTGAGGGAAGGGAAGGTGAGCGTGTGCAGAGACTCAGTTTACATAAAACCTATAACAATAAAAGCGTCACATGCTAATTAGACTGGACATCCTTCCGGACAAAGCTGGGGCTGTGAGGGGAGCCTGGGTCCCGGGTGCCAGAAGGAAATCGGTGCCAGCAGCCGGGGTAAGGAAGGCCTGCTCTTCTCTTTCTTTCTTTCTTCCTTTCTTTCTTTCTTTCTTTCTTTCTTTCTTTTTAAATATATTTTATTGATTTTTCACAGAGAGGAAGGAAGAGGGATAGAGAGTTAGAAACATCGATGAGAGAGGAACATCCATCAGCTGCCTCCTGCACACCCCCTACCGGGGATGTGCCCGCAACCAAGGTCCATGCCCTTGACCGGAATCGAACCCGGGACCTTCCAGTCCCCAGGCCGACGCGCTATCCACTGAGCCACACCGGTTTTGGCAGGAAGGCCCACTCTTGCACAGATTTTGTGCACCGGGGCTCTAGTAATAATCCTATCGGGGGGGGAAAAGGTAATATGCAAATTGACCATCACTCCAACACATCAGATTGCTACCCACATGTGGACACAAGATGGCTGCCACAAGATGGCCAGCAGGGGAGGGCAGTTGAGAGGGAACCGGGCCTGCAGGGGAGGGCAGTTGGGGGTGACCAGGCCTGCAGGGGAGGGCAGTTAGGAACAACCAGGCTGGCGGGGCAGGGCAGTTAGAAGCAATCAGGCCTGCAGGGGAGCAATTAGGCATCCATCAGGCTGGCAGGGCAGTGGTTAGGGGGTGATCAGGCTGGCAGAGGAGGGCAGTTAGGGGTGACCAGGCCAGCAGGGGAGGGCAGTTAGGGGTGACCAGGCCAGCAGGGGAGGGCAGTTAGGGGTGACCAGGCCTGCAGAGGAGGGTAGCTGGGGGTGACCAGGCTGGCAGAGGAGGGAAGTTGGGGGGGGGGGGCAAACAGGCTGGCAGGGGAGCAGTTAGGCACCCATCAGGCTGGCAGGGGAGCGGTTAGGGGGCGATCAGGCTGGCAGGGGAGCGGTTAGGGGGCGATCAGGCTGGCAGAGGAGTGGTTAGGGGACGATCAGGCTGGCGGGGGAGCAGTTAGGGGGCAATCAGGCTGGCAGAGGAGTGGTTAGGGGGTGATCAGGCTGGCAGGGGAGCGGTTAGGGGGCGATCAGGCTGGCAGGGGAGTGGTTAGGGGGCGATCAGGCTGGCAGGGGAGTGGTTAGGGGGTGATCAGGCTGGCAGGGGAGCGGTTAGGGGGCGATCAGGCTGGCAGGGGAGTGGTTAGGGGGTGATCAGGCAGGCAGGGGAGTGGTGAGGGGGTGATCAGGCTGGCAGGGGAGTGGTTAGGGGTGATCAGGCTGGCAGGGGAGCGGTTAGGGGGTGATCAGGCTGGCAGGGGAGTGGTTAGGGGTGATCAGGCTGGCAGGGGAGTGGTTAGGGGTGATCAGGCTGGCAGGGGAGCGGTTAGGGGTGATCAGGCTGGCGGGGGAGCGGTTAGGGGCATCAGAAAGGCAGGCAGGCGAGCAGTTGGGAGCCAGCAGTCCCGGATAGGGAGGGGGATGTCCTAGTGGGATCGGGCCTACCCGGGCAGTCAGACATCCCTCGAGGGGACCCAGATTGGAGCGGGTGCAGGCGGGGCTGAGGGACACACCCCTTCTTTCCCCCACCTGTGCACGAATTTTGTGCACCGGGCCTCTAGCCCTAACGATACCCGGAAAGGATGAGAGGGTGAGGG